GTTTTGTTAAGATGATATGGATGCTGGTTTCAAACAAGATATAGTTTATCTTCGCATTCTGGATAATATTTGCAACAGAATTCACAATCACCTGGTAACGAACAGATTGATTTTTTCGGATGTTGTCCCTGAGCCAATTAATAGCTAATGGCAGTGAAGGAAACACCGTACTGTTTTCACAACTCTGAACCCCTTTTTGGGTGTCATCAGGTCCTGCTTCACACGTTAAGTCAGCATTCTTTGCATCTGTACCTGTAAATTTCGCAATGGCATTAGGCTTTTGTGGAATATGAAATAGAATGGCATCAGTCAAAGGAAGGAAACGCAATCAGTCAATCACTTTCATTTCTCCTGTAAAGTTCTTAAACTAGCACATGTTGTCTTCCCCTTTGAAATGCTGAAACCAGGAAGAAATAGTCTTACCATTAACCACAAGTTCAATAAAATGGTTGAAATGACTTTAGACCATGACACAAATATGGGAGAACGTATTTTAGGAACAAGAAGGTTTCAGAACAAATTGTACCAGTCAATGATACAAAACTTATCAAGCCAGAGATGATATGTGCCACATATTGAATGAATCAGAATGCAAAGCTCAGGCATCTTGCTCAGATTTCATTGCAGTAATGTGTGGATGTCTCTCTTACATGTGACTTGCTCAACTAATGGGGCATTCAAAAGGTGTTTATTTTCAATAGTATGTTTTCCTTTCAGATGGAATAACTCAAATATGAAAAAGTGGAGCTGATGGTTAGCAATGCCAAAATTAGTGGAGAAATAGGGTTACACTTTCAATATGATTTCTACTTTCATCGAATCTCCAACAAAATGCATGGAAATCCCATCTTCTAAGTTGCAAGAGCGGGACCTAACAAGTCAGGATTGGACAAGTCATCTCTGGGAAGGGTGTAAAACTGAATAAATATTGGAAGCATATTTGCAGATTTCCTTTAAAGAAGAAGAGTGCACACTAATGGAAGTTATATCATCTTTCATGTAGGTGAACTACCTTTTTCCCCATGAACGAGGCCTTCCCATAGCCTTTGAAGAGTCAACTGCCACGACACATCTACTTCAGAACTGGCTGGAGGTGAGGCCCCAGTCCCTACCTTGTAATACACTGATGTGTTTGGAACAAATAGGGCCTTCTTAAAGTGGACTCCTGCATTACCAAAATTAATGTCACGAGGCTAAAGAGTATCAACAATTATAATCTGAACAACGTGCTTCAAAACTAGATATCCAATCAAATTACGAGTAGGTCGTATGAATTGGTGCATCTTTTACCATTGTTTGGTTCCCCCTCTGTGAAATAGACTAATAATTCACCATAGTTAATATTTACCATGACTGGCACATGCATTCATCAGACGTGGAAGAAGCAACTGAGGGTCCCTCACGGACATGCAATTAAACAACAAAATCTGCAAGTTTTCCAACAAATCAAACTTATCAGCATCCACTAAAATGACAATGTAGTTGATGAAATAAAATGAAAATATATAATTCAAAAAACCAGTGAACGTGTAATCAATAAAAA